TTTGCTTTGGAGCAAATATAGCGATGGGTTCACCACATTTTACGACATGGCAGGGAAAGAAATGAGAAACACTAGAAAGGCCAACATTTGCTTCGGAGCAAATGTAGGAATTTCACTCCATACCCTTCCCCAAACAAAAATGAGAGATTCTAAATAAATCATACTGCAATAATACAAGGACAAGCTGTTTGAATCTCGACAGGTATTTACAAAACTGGCACTTGGCAATTATCTCCCTTTTTTTTTACTAAAGATACAACGACACGCACTTTAAATCTCGACAGCTTTACTTTACACTTTTGACGAGATTGTAACTACTACTAACGGAAGCAAAATTTTCACGGCCTGAGAAAAATGGACATGTTCACGGAAGTATATATTCACGGTGGTGACAGTTGCAGGAAAAAGAAAGTCCAGGAATTATTTCCTAACTGTAATGATAAGTTCACTATACAGAGGTGACAGTGAAAACCGTGAACATTGACCCCCCGCTTGCGTTGCGGTACAGTGAAAAAAAATTGGGAATTACAGCAATCAATTTACTGAGTATGTTTGCTTAGTTTCCAGATGTTTTGTACTTCTAGTTTTTAAATGAACGAAAACCGATGCGCGCACAGATGTTACTTTTGTGACAACATCAAAGTGATTTTGGTTTGTATGTTGAAAAAATACAAAAGACTAACATTCAAAGTTATTGAAATTCTTGAGTAAGACCAATCAGTTTTGGAATGTTAAAAGCAAAGCAATGGATATTAAAACGAAAAAATTAAAATTAAATGTTGAAATTGTTAAAATGTAAAATGGTTAAAATGGTTAAAATTGTTGAAATTGTTAAAAATGTTAAAATTGTTAAAAATTGTAAAAAGGATAATTAAAAATATCCAGTGTACAGGGGTTCGAACTCGTAATGTCTGGACTTGCAGCCCTGCGCGTTACCAACCGAGCTATCTGGACACGTTTCCAACACTCTCTGCATTGTATGTCATATAAAGTGAACAACATGGCGGTAACGATCGCTTCAAGTACTAGTAAGGGACTTTCTAGGAGATACACTCTACAATTTTGGTGATTCTTCAGAAATCGATAACAGAATATATAATACTAGTCGGTGAAAATTGTGGAAAATTGTTGATACCGTGGCGCGCGCGCGTGCGCCGACGATACACATTACGTACCGTTGTTTACAGTACTCGCGGTGCGCAGGTCATTGACCTCCCGCTTGCGTTGTTCCAACAGAGAAGAGCAAAATATCTGGCAGTTTTTGCGTCAGATTTTCAGTGTTTGTTAAAATCATATACAGGCATCCATGCAGCTATAATTCTTCCAACTAGTTCGTAGTTAGGTGAAATGTTTATAGGAATCACACGAATCGGTATCCGGTATCAGAGTATCATGGCCCACGGCCGAGACCGCGTGGACCAGCTGCGCTGGTACGTGAAAATGGTAGTAAATAAATTAATTAGCCAACAGCCAATCAACAGCCACATCTGCAAACATGACCACACCTGCTTGTATGCCCGTATTTGGGCCTTCCCCCGAATTCCTTTCTTATTACGTCACGCGCGTACGCCCCCACACTACTTTCCTATGGGGACCACTAAAAAGCAAATAAAACGATTGTAAAAGCTTGTATCAAAAAAATAAAAAAAAGCCTAAGGGTATTTACCCACTCTACCTCTATACGAAATTACAGGTAATTTCGCCCAAAAATGAAGGAGTTGAATCAATTTAAAGAAGTGGCAGGAGGAGGAGGAGGAGGAGAAGGAGGAGAAGAAACATCAGAAAAAGCAATATGGGTTCACCACCACTTCGTGGTGTGGTGAACCCATAAATATGAGTTTTTAATTTCTTTAGCCAATGTGAATTTAATTAAAATTAACATGCACAACTTACCTCATCAAGAGCCAGCCAGTCGTCCCCGCTGATTTTCAGTTGAATTTTGTCGGGTCTTCCAAAGTTTCCAAAGAAGGTAGGTGTGATATCTGCTCTTGTTGTTCTGAAATTATACAAAAAAAAACGCCAATGTCCTTTTTTGATATATATCTTTAATTATGTTGCTTTCTTCAGTTTTGTGAGGATAAAAGTTTATTGAAGTTCGTAATTAACATTTGTTAAAAATGGTCAACTAACTAAGATTTATGATGAAGTTCTCAACAAATCAAAGGAGGACAGCAGCGGTCAGGGTTAATTTCTAAAAGACCACATTTTTATTCACTCTTAAACTGATTTCTTTAAGAATCTGGCAAATTAGTAATAAAAATAAATATTAGTTAGAGCACTTTTCTGTCATTGTTGTACCCATATTGGTTCATTAATCTGTCGTAATGTAAATAGTTAGTTCTAATAACTACAATTTATGCAAACTTGAAAAAACATCTACCATTCTTTAACAATATTTTTCTATAAAATAAATAATTGATTATATAAAAATTAATGAGGGATATATGTTATTAATTAAAGAGTATCGAAATGTATGTAAAACAATAAGGAACATATTTTGCTGTGGTCTGTTTGGACCCTACTGGCCCATACATAAACTTTCTAATATAACTTCCAATGCAAAGAGCCAATCCAGTAAGAACCAAACAAACTCATGGAAGGTGACTTTTTTCTGATCAAAAACTCTAAAATGTCACATATAAATGGATGCCTGTTGTCCAAGCGGGCCCCGGTCTTTTTGATGAGGGTAATACATGTAAAAAGCTTGTAAATTTGCAAAATTTAGTGATTAGTCAGATGTGAATATCAAACATGGGCCTTTAGCTAGCCTTCTAACAGGTTTACCAAATTACCCTAATGCTAACTATTAAATCTAAAAAAAAGAAAACATTACCATACTTTACATATGAGAGGAATTGAAATTCTTATTATTTAAAAATCTCTCGCCTGCATGTCAAGAGACAAAAATAAGAGTCGGTCATAATCATGTTCTTAAGCTTCCGGGTTAAAAAAAAATGTGTTCAGTTTTCTTAACAATAAATAATATCCCATCTCCAACACTTACCTAATATGTCAAACAGAATATACGTTTTTAAATGCATCGCTCTAACCTTCCCTGGTTGAATGAAGCGGGAATCTGAAACCAATTGGTCCAACGGTTGGAAGAATAAATCCGGAAGGAGATCTTGTCCTCTGTCTTAGCATTATCCACGTCCCTTACATCCAGCTCGATCACGTGTTTGTTTATCCCTGTACGAATGTAATAAAAAGTTAACGATAGATTTTGCTGGTTCTTTAAAAAACGATTAACGTACTAGACTTCCAGACAAATAGGTACAGTATGTTATGAAAAACTTAAACTTTTCTCCAACTCAAAATTTGACTCACCAGAAATTTTCGTCCGAATCACTCAGTCTTCCTCAGCTATCTGACCCGAATGCTGTGGACACGTGATTTTTCCCACGTGTGACGTCAGCAATGGGTTAAAGGTTGTCTGGGAGGACTACAAGTGTTTTTCGATCACGTTACAGAAGCCTTAAAGAAGTGTGGATACCCTCAGTGGCTCATTGGGAAAGACTCCGAGCCCAGACAGCCCCGGTCTAAACCCCAGGATAGTCAGGGAACGGGAGGGAAAAACAGAAAAACACTTGTAGTCCTCCCATACGTAAAGGGTGTTTCTGAGCCCCTACGTAGAATCTTTGCTGCACACGAAGCGAGTACCTGTTTCAGACCTCATCGTACGTTAAGATAACTCCTTGTGGCACCTAAGGACAAAACTCCCAAGGAACGACAAATGTGGGGTTTTCTACCACATAAGTTGCCAGGGAAACACTTACAGAGGCCCCTGTCGGGAAATTTATATCGGGGAAACTGAGCGCTCACTAAAAACCAGGTTTCTAGAACATAGACGACCCAGTTCTGTTGCATCTGAGGTGTCACAGCACATCCACATAGAATCACCGGGACACACAGTGGATTTGGAGGGGGTCAGAATCTTGGATACCGAACAGGATTACTTCAAGAGAGGCATAAAAGAGGCCATATACATCAGGGCACTTCAACCATCGCTCAACCGGGACGGGGGGCGATATCGACTTCAGACAACCTTTGACCCTTTGCTGACGTCACACGTGGGAAAAATCACGTGTCCACAGCATTTGGGTCAGATAGCTGAGGAAGACTGAGTGATTCGGTCGAAAATTTCTGGTGAGTCAAATTTTGAGTTGGAGAAAAGTTTAAGTTTTTCATAATGTAATTTACCAACTCAGATGAACTTTCATGCTGAGGTACAGTATGTCAAGTCGGAATTGTGTAACTCTAATAATTTGTCGATGTTCTGCTGTACTAAATGCTTTTAATATGCTTGTACATATATGACATAATGTATTTAATGGCATCAAGTTTATTTGTTACTCTAGTTGATATTAGTCCTCTTCTTTTTTGCTGTATCATAATAAGAAGGAACTTACCTCTGCAAGCAGACTGGCCGATATGGAGAGTTGTTGTTCCCGCTGAACAGGACAGACAAGAGGTGGACCCCGCTGTGCTACTGTATTGTCCGGCAGGACAGTAATGACAAGACGTGGAGCCTGCTGTATTGCTGTACCTTCCGGCAGGACAGTCCTGGCAACCGCTTGACGCCGCTGTGCTGCTGTATTGCCCGGCAGGACAGACCTTACAGCCCGTGGATCCTACTGCATCGCTGTACTTTCCCGCTGGACAGTCTAAACAGCTTGTGGCCCCCCCGCCTGTGCTGTACTTCCCGGCTGGACACTTCTGACAGGACGCCGCTCCCGGAGCGCTGCTGAACTCCCCTGCTGCACACGGCACGCACATTGTCCTGTTGTCGTTACTGGCCGCTCCCGCCGGGCAGATGTCTTCCCGCTCGTCCCCCAGCTTACACTCATGGCCGGGACGACATTGGTGGCAGGTGAAGGCATTGTGATCAGCTATAAAAGAACGCAAATCTACCAATTACTAAACAAAAACTCGGAGACCTGCCATAGATCAAATGCATTATATGTTTTAAATTTTCAGAATTTCCTCTTTAATTATGCAAATTTAGTCTTAATTTGCATAAGTTGCATCTACTTATGAAAGTCTCTGTATGGGCTATCTACAAACCAAAAACTCTTAATTTGCATAATTTGGGTTAATTATGTACAGCTCTCCCTCAGCTACCTACACACCAAACATGATGAAAAAACGTTGTTCCTATCTGGACTTATCGGCATTTTAAAGTTTTTGCCACAAAGTCCCCTGCAGTTTCAGAACAAGCTGCTATAGAGAGACCAAACCCTTACCACTTATTCCTGACATGAAAAGCTATCTGTCACCAAAAACCCAACACCATAGCATGTTCAGGACAAAAGATACAAAAACTTGAAGTTCTGCAGTAGTACCAAGGTCATCCCCTAGGAGGCCAATATCTGTCCTTGACCTTCGTTTTTCTAAGATTTACCAAATACCATCACAATCTAAATGGGTTATGAAGATATGTTGACTAGAAATGTACGGAAACACAAACACACAGACACACACACACAGACACGCCAAAACAATACCATTATCATGGTAGGTAACACATTTGGATGGTAACCTTTGGATGGATTGTTAGGTGTTGGGTAGGCAAACGTCAAAGTCGATTTTGGGCCTCCTTGTGGCCTCGGCCAGGTTGTTTAAATTAAGAAAATAATTTTAAAAAATGCATATCAAAATGTGCACATATTATACTTGTACTTACCTTTTGAACATTTTTTGGGGTTATCTTGTATTTTATGCCATACGTTTTGTTCCCCCAAAGTACGCAGTCGAGCCCCGGCTTGGAAATATGACCATAGCATAGAGCAAAATCGTTTGGTTCCCCCGAAAAGAATATCTTTATATATATATATATACATAAACATGACAAACCCTTCACAGCTTTCTGCCCAGGTCTGCATCCTTCTACACAGCGCCCCTCATGTTGATACTTGCAGGTGTCACAGTCTGTTGAAGCAGGTCCGGAGCAGGTCCTATTCCCTTCATTACTGACGTCTTTGCAAAAGCTGCTGCATTCTACATAGAAATATGCTTTCGCTTAAAAAGTACATGTATTCGATAGGTTAAAACAACAGCAAAAAACATTATTATATAGGCGTCGATCAATCAAAAGACTCCATTTTGCATTAAAGCCGTAACCGCAAAAGTGGTCGGCCATTTATTGGAATAACCGGCAACTTTTTGGACCGTACCATTATACTGGGGACAGTAATGTTAAGATATGTAGTATGTATCATTTAAAGGAAACCTAAAGGTTAGTTTGAAAAGCCAAGTCTACTATTCGATGGTTATAGCCCCTGACCACCAGGGATTATCTCACCACATACACAACGGGGCGGGCAATAACCATTTTTAGGACTAGAAATTGACGAACCTTATGTTTACAAACTCATTTAAACAATATTACTGAAATAAATCTGACAGATTGTGTGATTTACTACATGTTATCCTCTAGTAAAGAAAGAAGGTAAATTCTTTAAGCTGACAATAGAATTCACAAAGTTTATCACTAAGAATGTTCAACTCAGTGGAAATTGTTTGACATTTACACACTGACATTTAAAAATACATATTACAACATACTTTTGCATACGCTGTTATCATCAAAGTGTGTCAGAGGGCACTCCGTCAAACAGTCCACAACACCATCAGGGCGAGTTTCTTCCATCCTCTTAATGCCTAGGAAGAAAACAAGAAAAAAAAAATGTTTCAAAGTTGTTGTTTTTTTAACTTTGGAACAATCTACTCACAACTCACACGAAAGGAACACCATATTGTTTTTTCTTAGGACATCCAAATGAAATTTTTGGAACAAAAACAATATATACGTAGTTTTATACGGTTTTCTAGCAGCTATTGGCTAGAATACATATATCCATATTTGCTTTCAATATGAACAGCAAAAGACTAATTATTGACTCAAAATTAACACATATCAAACTTCTATTGACATAGTGTATGTATGCATTACTTACATGAACAGGTTTTTGAAGCGGTGTCAGATTTCATGTGCTGCGGACACTGGGCGACGCATTCGAAATCACCAGTGTGTCCTTCTCTGAAGGGGTAGGACACCTTCAGATGTTTACAGGCGATACAGTCAGTTGGAGAGTTAGATCCACTTGTGCGGCATCCTGTGTACACAAAAAAAAGAAAAGAAATGCATGATCTTCTCTGTTGCTACAGAATGACTCTATGCTTGGCTATGGTCAGGTCATGTATTTATTATATTTTAATTAACATTATAATTGTTTGACGCACAAACCAGTAGATCGTTTAGCACATACTGTTATGTGCAACTCCACACTTTCCCAATATAGTTTACTGTAACAGTATTCAGCGCATATAAAATCAATGAGTCCCTTCTACTGTAACAGTTTTTTTACGTTATGTGATCTGTCTACCACACAACGTTCTTCTCAGTTCAGCATCATGGCTTGCGGTTCCATGTATCGAAATTACATGACAAATACCGACCCTTATTCCAACAGCGTAACTCGACAATATCGTTAAGTACAAGACTTGTAGCATAGATTGCTTCGCGAATGCTCTCCTGTATGTTCCGAGTACATGCGCGCCACCTTCCTTGGCATACCGTAGCAAAACGACATCATACAAATTCCCATACGTGCCCGTTGGAAAACACCACGTAGCTCTCTTATCCTTTGGAGTTCTCTAATATGCAACAATACGGTCCAATTCGTTGAAAATCGTGTTAAAACGTAGGTATTTAACAGTAAAATTTGCACATGCATTGCTATTCTAGCGAGTATAGGCGGTACTGCAAGCATCAACATAATATATGCATCGACGAGCGGTGTGTGGCTTTTGTAAGTTTATGACTCGCGTGGGCGACATTTAAATGTAACATTAAATGGAATGTACACTTTGGGCAAACATAGAGCTATATTGACATTTTATTTTATATTAGCCAAGTGTTTAGTGCCTACGAACCAAGGAAGAGCAGATACAACTAGAGGTCGGAGATCTCATGTCTTCGTCAGAGGTACATCGTTCTAGAGAAATTAACATGCGTATTCTTCACTCTTTTTAATAATTAATTTGGTCTAAAGAACAAAAGAATCTCTGTACAATTTTTATGGTACAGAACACCCTGAAACGGTTTGCCGCAGATTATACAGATGCGTCGTCACCCGTGTTAGCCTCCCCCCTACGTTATTTGAGTTTGGACTGTTACTGAAAAACAAAAACGTTCAAGAAATTCTTACTGTGTTGAAAGTGTCACGACAGCGCCGCAAAATATAAGAGAAGATGTTATAAAGGAAAGAATCAGAACAGGGTGACTACTGGCTGCTGTTTTGTTAATTTGTCTTTATGACAAATAGAAGACTTGTGTTCTTTGTGTCCTAACATTTGTACTTCCACAGTTAGTATATTCCAAATCTAGGCATCTCATTTTTCGGCCCTTTGCGTTTTTACTGCGCGCTTGCCTTAAATTTAAGGTCATTAGATTTAAGGTCTCCAGTGGACGTCATCCATAGCAATTACTTGGTGTGGCCGTAGAAAATAACCTGACATATGTCCAACCTATCCTCCCCCTGCTGAAGTTATAGTACAATCCCTCAATGTATCGTCATTTGATCCCATCCCATTATGGGGTTCCCCGGCTATATCCAGCTGTCCGCTGTCTCCAAGCAGATGTAGGTGGGGGATTTCTAAACACAAAAGGTCCTATTACGGGGACATAACGACCTCCACGACTCTCATCTTTGAACTCAATTTTGGAGACCACCACAGTAACATGCCTATCAAATTCCATTAACTTCCATCCACATATACAAAAGTTATCCTGCTCACAAGAAAAATTAACAAAATGCCCCCTGTAGTCACAACGAATAGTAAGCACCAAACCAAGAATTATAATCAACATTTTACAAATACCTGAGTTATCTTGCTAACAAGCCACAAACACAAAAGGTGCACTAACGTGTCGCACGGGACCCCCCCCCCCCCCACGAAGCTGAAACTTGTATTTGACTTTGGCCTTAATAGCGGTAATCTGCCTGCCAAAAATCATGGACGTCGAATCATGCCTTCTAGAGTTATAACGCAAAATCCGCAGTTCCCCACACTCCGGCGAGACAATTTCATAGTCCTTCTGACGAAGACAATGACAGGACTAGGGCAACAGAAATAGCCCGGATTTAGGACGAACGAACACCCACCGTACGTACCACCGGCCCTGGGAGTATGTAGGAAAGCGAACACAGTTTCGTTTGCAGCTTAGGTGGCAAACGATAAAAAGAGAACAGTTTTTTTTTTCATAACTGATTAGGCAACGCAACAAAAACAAGCAAGTTTAAATCAAAATGCAAAGACGAACATACCGTTACACTCGGGATGACATTTTTGTTGACAGACCCCGTTGATCATCTCCGTCCCTTCCCGGCAGATGAAGTCCTTTGCCGGCTTGTCCAGCATTGACAGTCCCATCACCTTGACAGGAGACTCTCCACTGCCGAAGGAATAGTAGCGAAGGGACGCCACCTCGTTGAATGAGAAACTCAACCAGACGTGGGGACGCTCCTAGAAAAATAATTTTTTTTAATAAAAAGGTGAGCCTTTTTGTCATGCTCGAATGCCTAAATTACTGAACTATATATACACACCTCATTGTCAGGCGTCTTGCCGTATTGAACGACTGTTTTCACATCGTCCAAATCTTCAGTCACACAGACAAAGTACGACTGGTACAGGGTGGCCGAACCCAGACCGCCGGCGTCGTCATTCAGCTGGGTGGTCTGTAGCCGAAGTGCCTTCAGGTGTGTATAAAACATACTGTTAATCCCACGTTACCTCGCACAGCGGTGTCTTAAGAAATATTTTAGATATACTATCTAAGCTGAATTCAGCGGAAATAACATTCCTAAATCCTGATAAAAGTTTAGGAAATGGTAGGTACCACCAGGTACAGCACTGGAAATAGTCCTATGAATAGCTTCATACTGATACTACTGACATGTCCTTTGCTTTCAGTCCCATAGACTTATGAACATATAAAAAATCAGACTCTAGTACATAAAGAAAAAAAAGCCGTCACCTTCGAACAAAACAATATATTACAGATTCAGTGACAGCTACTCAAAAAGAATAATAAATAGAAAGAAAGGCAGAATTCTACTCTAATCCTAATTGGTGTAAAACACGTTGTGTATTTTAGAAAACCTTTACGGATTAATCTACCTTACGTGACACGTCAGGATACTAAGCGTGCTGACCTTATACAGTGCCACTCCTTCAGGTGTGATCTGTACATATATCCAGGTCTCATGGTTTTGCGGTATGCTGGCAAACACAACAAAGATGTCACCCTCTGATGCTGCAGTGAAGTGGATGCACTTTCCTCCATCGGTCGGATCAAAGCGATGCGCGTTGGACCATTGAATGCTACACGGTACGTCTCCAACTGTGTCACTAGAGAACACCAAAGGGTATTTACATGCATAATACGTTCCCTTATCGTAATTGTATGAAATATAATATTTGTTAGGCAAAGTATATTTTGACAATTAGTTTTCGTCATAAGACAACTACATACCATATTTATAATTCAAACCTAGTTCACCCACATTTTCTGGCTCAAGTGGTTAAGTAGTTTCTTGTACTCAGCTCTGGCGACGTCACGACCTTTTACCGACTGTGTTGAATTTTTAAAATCTAAATTTGAGGCTTTGAAGTCGTCATCCGTCACCGTGAAGACACCTGTTCCCTCGTCATACGTCATGACAAGCCCCTGAACGCTGACCTGGAAAATCGTGACAAAACACATGCTCGAATATAAAATTGTATTGGAGAAGTGTTCTAAAAAGGGATAGATAGCCCTAAAGACAGGCAGGGTGACAAAATACAAAAACTTTTGCTATATATTTCGTACCTTTTTTGCGTGAACGTCGTTACTCCCTCCGTTTTTGTAGCCATCATACAGATGCGGAACAAATCCTTTCCTCGCAGAGAACCACATGTGACGATAGAACTTAAGTGTCAGCACGTCTTGCGCCCGAAGAATCCCCGGGATGTCATACGGCATGTCAAACACGACCGTGAACTCCGTTCCTCCGGTCATGTCTTCCCATGTGGGCACGCCGGTGTTGTTCTCCTGAAGGAACGCCAACATGGCGGTTTCACAGCCTGCCTCTCCAGCGGGCAGGAGGAAGTCTGAACTCAGGAGACGACCCTATATGAAAATAAACATGTGTAGAAGGGAATGTGTATTTTGATAGACTAAAACTTTAAAGTAAACTAAACACACTATGCAGGTAATATATACTATGTAAACATCTTGGTTATTGTCTCTCTTTCTTCTCTTGGCTTGGCTTCGTGTCCGAAGATTTAAGGGTCCTTCCCTCTCCCACTGCATGCCCGCTGGTGGCTGACAAGTCCGATGCGTGACCGGCATACTCGGCCACAGTGGCTGCAGGTAAGTGACGAGTCTGGTGTTGGAGCCGTGACGGCGCGGTTCTTCCTCTTACTGCGTTTCTCTTCGAGGGCAGTTCTGCGTCTCCTCTCGAAGGCAGAGACTGAGTCATGAACTGTATGTCGTCAGGCAGCTCGGTCAGTGGCAAGAGCTGACCACTGACTATGGTCGATGTTGCACAAAGACAGAGATTTCTTTAGACAGTCCTTAAATCTCTTCTTTGGTGCTCCTCTGTTTCGGTGCCCGGTAGACAGTTCGCCGTAGAGGACAATCTTGGGCAGACGATGGTCCTCCATTCTAGAAACATGCCCTGCCCAGCGCAGCTGTGTCTTCAGCAACATGGCCTCGATGCTGAGGACCTCCGCTCGCTTCAGCACCTCAACATTAGTGATGTAGTCACTCCAGTGGATGTTGAGGATGGAACGGAGACAACGCTGGTGGAAACGCTCTAGAAGACGCAGGTGGTGTCTGTAGGTAACCCACGACTCAGAACCGTACAGGAGGGTAGTCAGTACCACGGCTTTGTAGACGCTGACTTTAGTGTCTTTCTTCAGATGCTTGCTCTTCCAGACACGGCTGTGGAGTCTTCCAAAGGCTCTGTTTGCCTTTGCGAGTCTGTTATCGACTTCCTTGTCAATCTTTGCGTCAGATGTGATGGTGCTCCCCAGGTAAGTGAACTGGTGTACAGCCTTCAGTGGTTTCTCGCCAATCTTGATGCAGGGTGGGCGGTACTCCTTTCGGGGGGCAGGCTGGTGGCGAACCTCTGTCTTCTTCAGGCTTACTTCGAGACCGAAGAGTTCGGATGCTTCTGCAAAGCAGGATGTTACACGCTGCATGGCGAACTCGGTGTGGGCTACAAGAGCAGCATCGTCAGCAAAAAGTAGCTCTCGGATGAGTTGCTCTAGGGTCTTGGTGTGGGCCTGAAGGCGCCGTAGGTTAAACAGGCTGCCGTCGGTACGGTATCGTATGTAGATGCCGTCTTCATCTCCAAGATCCTCTGTAGCTTGTTGGAGCATCATGCTGAAGAAGATGGTGAATAGGGTTGGTGCGAGTACACATCCCTGCTTAACCCCGTTGGTGATTGGGAAGTGCTCTGAGAGGTCGTTGCTGCTTCTAACCTGACCCCGCTGGTCTTCATGCAACTGGATCACCATGCGAAGGAACTTCGGGGGACAGCCCAGACGCTCCAGGATCATCCACAGGCTCTTCCTGCTCACAGTGTCAAACGCCTTTGACAGATCAACGAAGGTGATGTACAGTCCTTTATTCTGTTCACGGCATTTTTCCTGGAGCTGCCTGAGCACAAAGACCATGTCGGTGGTACCCCTGTTGGCTCGGAAGCCGCACTGGCTCTCTGGGAGGTGGTGTTCTGCAACAGCGGGGACCAGTCTGTTGAGGAGAACTCTTGCCAGGATTTTACCTGCGATTGAAAGGAGAGTTATCCCCCTGTAGTTCGAGCAGTCGGACTTTTCCCCTTTGTTCTTGTATAAGGTAATGATAACAGCGTCACGAAGGTCCTGGGGAAGCTTTCCCTGTTCCCAGCAGGTTATTGTACTACATGTTTAAACGCTGTATATAATTAAAATAAATATACTTCGTTAGCTATAGGCAGTGTTATATGGTTACTACAATTTTCTCTACCTCTTCCAGATACACTGTAACAGCACGTTGAAGTGCCAGCCTCCTCTTGGTCATGCTGTCCTCAAGGGCTTTGCGGTTTTCAAAATTACAATAACGGATCTCAGTGACCGTCACCATTTCACTCCCATTCTTAGTTCCCTTGTCATCATTACCGGGTTCTGTTGTCTCTCTTGTGTAGTACTTCCGGCTTGTTTCCTTTTCTATTTGTAGATTCCTGAAATGTAACCAATAACATACTGTTCTAATCTTGTCACATATAAATTCCGCATAAAAAAATTAAATTGCTATTGCCCCAGCAGATTCCTGCCCATGAGCCCATTATAAATTTTCGTATATCATTTTTGACACATGGCCATCAGTTCCTAGGATAACCGTCCCTTTACTAGCGAGGTATCGGGGGTATACCGACGTAGTTACTTATTATTCAACTGGATACTACTGTCAGTTAGTCGTAGAAACTATGACTTTGCTGTGCAAAACAAACAGGGTGGCAAGTTTTCGACATTGAAATAGTCCACTGTCCAAATTGAACCCTACACAGTAAACCTTCGGATTGATCTGTCACCCTTGGGACCGCTCGGACCCCAAAACATTTTTTACGGACCCCAAAACGTATTTCTATAAAGGCAGATCTCCCCAACTAAAAATGCATGGAAGTCGTTGGTAACCCTGAACGTTTCGTTAAGATTACGTTGCACCGAGCATGCTTTGGTTCGAGCCCAAATCTGACGACCATAATAACTAACGGCAACTTGATGTTAACAAAATGCCTACTTATTCTCATAAAAAGAGAACTCACCTGCTACCTAAACATCCGTAATCTACCAGTATATCCTCGCTAATTCCCTAATACTAACCAACAAGTAACTACATAGTCTATCCTCGCAAATCCTAACCAACTAGTTACTAACAATGTTATCCTCACTAATCCACTAACCCCAACCAACTAGTAACTACCTAGCCTGGGTGCCATCCGAATTTGTAACGGCTCCCCCGAAAAATCGTCTGGGAACGCGTACAGTCTTTCAGTCTGGTGATTTGAATGTGCGGTCATTTTTTGCCCGCACGCGCTGATTGGTCCCGTCGATCTGCGCTATATACATATGCATGCGTAGGCGTTCCGATCATCATCAACATGGCGGACGCGGAAGCCGACGTTGATGCTAGCTTGATTGACCGGGCGATTTCGTCTGTTTTAGCTGAGTTAGACGGGATTTCAGAGCTGAAACGTGAGACAAAATGACGCACTGAAAGTCTTTTCTTAGTAGGAAAAGATGTTCTCGCCCTACTACCAACTGGCTATAGGAAAAAGTTTGATCTACCAACTCGTCCCTCTCGTATGTAAGAAGCTGGCAGACGCGGGCAGTCCTTTGTTCCACGGCGTGGNAATATTCTACAGAATGTGCGACTAGTGGGGGAGGGGGGCTACTACTCTTGTGTTACACCGCAAATACCAGGGCACCAAAACAATGATATACAACGTTATCGATCGGGAATGGAATTTTTTGAAGCCTTAGTATCCTTCTGTAGACAAAAGAATATGAACTCGCTCACCTTTGTCTGGCTGGTTCTTGGCGGAGGAACTTTCAATCCCTTTGCGCTGCAGAGTTTTTTCAGAGCCCGTGGTGTTTTGGTGGGGGTCGGTTCGCGAGAACGCTTGTCTTTCTCGGCGGGCTCAGGCGTTTTTGGTAGGGGTAACTCTGGAACTGTCGGCAGAATCCTTGGCTCAAGCGACGGGGTCGTTCTCTGAGAAGATTCCGGCGGTGTTGTGGCCTCCAACCCTCGGTCGTCGATTTGTTGCCAGGCTTTCAGCTGCTGCAAGGCTTGTTCTATTTGCCCCACACTTCGAGTGCACTTCTTGCACAGCCGTTCGGAGGCATCCTCCCTTTGGACTAGCACTACGCCGATAGCAGACAGCCGGTCGCAAAGTTTTCCCTCATTGGCATCCTTTGGTTGATCAAAAATCTTCCGGAAGGACTGTAGTCTCGAGCTCCCGTCTCCGCGAAGATTGACGCTGCAAAGACGACAACAGTCGGCGTAGTTCGGAGGAAAGGGGGTGCCTTTCCCCGGGAACTGTGCCGACGCCATCGCCGCAGACTGCCGATCTTTGTGAGGATTTCATCGTACGACATGCTGTCCTTCTTAGCATGGAGCTGCTAACAAGTGTTACCAGCGCGACTTCGCGAAGATAAGACGAAAACAAGGCCATAAAAAACATCTTGCTACAAGAAATGGCTGCACTCGACGTACATGTGTGAATCTCGCGGCAGATTTCTGACCCCGACAAAACAACATGGTCACGTGAGAAATCGGGCGATCTGATTGGAAGAAGGCGTCTACGTGTCATCCAATTGAAAGAGGCTCCGCCCACCGGGTCCCACATGGCTTAGCTCATTACGTGACATCATCACCAGGCGAAAAGACTGTAACCGTTCCCAGACGATTTTTTCGGGGGAGCCGTTACAAATTCGGATGGCACCCAGGCTAGTAACTACCCAGTCAATCCTCGCTAATTCTAACCATCTAGTAACTACTCAGTCTTTCCTCGCTAATCCTAACAAATTTGACGACCATGGTAACTAACGGCAACTTGAAGTTAACAAAATGCCTAATAATTCTCAAAAAAAGAAAACTTACCTGCTACCTAAACATCCGTAATCTACCTCTCCTGCAGGGAATAGCGAGTCAAAGGGGATGTTCAGTAGATCTGAGACCAGCCTCAACACGAAGGAGAAGGGTTTGGGGTAGTCATCAATGGACTCTAACCAGTCCTTCAGCTCTCTTGTTAGGGCTGTCGTGTACATCTCCGTGATGGCAGCGGCGATCTTCTGGTCTCCGCCTTGAACCACCAGAACCTCGTTGCTGTACTCCTGGGCTGATCTGAATGGAAGAGATAAAACAATAAGCTCATAACTCTGTGATTTTGTTCAGTAATATTATCATGTTAATATAACCGCGTATCAGCTCTAAAAAAATTAGCATTTAGTAAGGCATATGCATTTTCAATGAAGAAAGAAAAACTCTCAAAGTGAATAAGCACATATGTAAATGCGACTAAACATTGAAAGAAAGAAATTATAATGACCATAACATTGGAGAAAGACTAATACAATTTCACAAATACAGCAGGATGCATCCACAACTGACAGTAATCAAGTTGTATTAATGCTTATATTTGACTCTTAAATAAACAGACTTACGCTTGCTTCTCTTCCTGTCTTTGGGCCTGTGATTCAGAACCAGATGCTGCATGTGCAGAAGAGTCTTTTGATTCAGTCTTCGACTCGTGCTTGTGAAACCAGCTACTGGACTTGGTCTGTGACGCCTGCGCTGAGAAGGTGCTGAGAGTCATCTTCCAGTCAGATTCTGCTTTAGTCGCGAATTCAGACATCGACAGGTCCTGTGTAGCTTGCTTTGTTTTGATGATCTTTAGTTGCCCTCCGAATTTGGCTGACTTGATGTAGTGTGTTCCCCAGCGGAGGTAGAAATTTTCTGAAATTGCAGAATAATATCACACTTCATATTGGAGACAGTTTCCAGCTTTTAATTCATGTCTGAAATTATTGTAGTCTGGTAGTTGCATTGTCAGTAATTAACTTTCGTTATTATAGTAGTAAAATGGTATATAGTAACAAAGTCAAGTGGAATTAAAGACGATTTTTAAAATGCGGGGTAAGAACAGTAATGTTATCTAGTTTATAAAGCATAGAAATTTGTTCCAGTGAAAAGCAATGTTGGTACTAGTTAATCACCTAGTAAATTTGGCCATTGCAACCCGCCACTGCTCTGTCTGTTAATGGTGGTAGTACTGTATACATTAGCAGGGATTTAGCAGAGTAATATACAGATTTTCTTCTCTTGAAGACAGTCTACTAAAAATGACATGAAATCTACATGCAAGTACATGAGCGAAATATGCCATAACCGGATACTATTTTAGACAGAATCTAGCTCAGACGATTATAGCAAGCCTGGTATAAACGCAATAGTTTTTACCCAGTCTATCCTCGCTAATCCTTACTTCCCAGTGGACGTCACTCCTCGCAAATCCCCTAATACTAACTAGTAAATACATAGGCTATCCTGACAAATCCTAACCAATTAGTTACTAACCAGTTTAACCTCACTAATCCACTAATCCTCACCAACTAGTAACTACCCAGGCAATAATCGCTAATTCTAACCAATTAGTAACCAGTCAATCCTCGCTAATTCTAACCAACTAGTAACTACCCAGTCAATCCTCGCTAATCCTAACCATCTAGTAACTACCCAGGCAATCCTCGCTAATTCTAACCAACTAGTAACTACCCAGCCAATCATCGCTAATTCTAACCATCTAGTAACTACCCAGGCAATCCTCGCTAATTCTAACCATTTAGTAACTTTCCAGTCAATCCTCGCCAATTCTAACCATCTAGTAACTACCCAGTCAATCCTCGGTAATTCTAACCAACTAGTAACTACCCGGTCAATCCTCGTTAATTCTAACCATCTAGTAACTACCCAGGCAATCCTCGCTAATTGTAACCAACTAGTAACTACCCAGTCAATCCTCGGTAATTCTAACCAACTAGTAACTACCCAGTCAAACCTCGCTAATTCTAACCATCTAGTAACTACCCAGTTAATCATCGCTATTTCTAACCATCTAGTAACTACTCAGTCTCCCCTCGCTAATACTAACCAACTAGTAACTACACAGTCAATCCTCGCTAATTCTAACCAACTAGTAACTACCCAGTTAATCATCGCTAATTCAAACCAACTAGTAACTACCCAGTCAATCCTCGCTAATTCTAACCAACTAGTATCTACTCAGTCTCCCCTCGCTATTTCTAACCTTCTAGTAACTACACAGTCAATCATCGCTAATTCTAACCATCTAGTAACTACCCAGTCTATCCTCGCTAATTCTAACCATGTAGTTACTACCCAGTCAATCCTAGCTAATTCTAACCAACTAGTATCTACTCAGGCTCCCCTCGCTATTTCTAACCTTCTAGTAACTACTCAGTCTATCCTCGCTAATTCTAACCATCTAGTAACTACCCAGTCAATCCTCGCTAATTCTAACCAACTAGTATCTACTCAGTCTCCCCTCGCTATTTCTAACCTTCTAGTAACTACACAGTCAATCATCGCTAATTCTAACCATCTAGTAACTACCCAGTCAATCCTAGCTAATTCAAACCATCTAGTAACTACCCAGTCAATCCTCGCTAATTCTAACCATCTAGTAACTACCAAGTCAATCCTCGCAAATTCTAACCATCTAGTAACTACTCTTTCTCTCCTCGCTAATACTTACCAACTAGTAACTACACAGTCAATCCTCGCTAATTCTAACCAACTAGTAACTACCCAGTCAAACCTCGCTAATTCTAACCATCTAGTAACTACCCAGTTAATCATCGCTATTTCTAACCATCTAGTAACTACTCTTTCTCTCCTCGCTAATACTTACCAACTAGTAACTACACAGTCAATCCTCGCTAATTCTAACCAACTAGTAACTACCCAGTTAATCATCGTTAATTCTAACCAACTAGTAACTACCCAGTCAAACCTCGCTAATTCTAACCGTCTAGTAACTGCAGTTAATCATCGCTATTTCTAACCATCTAGTAACTACTCTTTCTCTCCTCGCTAATACTTACCAACTAGTAACTACACAGTCAATCCTCGCTAATTCTAACCAACTAGTAACTACCCAGTTAATCATCGCTAATTCTAACCAACTAGTAACTACCCAGTTAATCCAAGCTAATTCTAACCAACTAGTAACTACCCAGTCAATCCTCGCTAATTCTAACCAACTGGTAACTACCCAGTAAACTCTCGCTAATTCTAACCATCTAGTAACTACCCAGTCAATCCTCGCTAATTCTAACAAACTAGTACCTACTAACTCTGTTCTCGCCAATTCTAAACAACTAGTAACTACCCAGTCAACCCTCGCTAACACTAATCATCTAGTAACTACCCAATCTCTCCTCGCTAATTCTAACCATCTAGTAACTACTCAGTCTTTCCTCGCTTATTCTAAATAACTAGTAACTACCGAGTCAATCATCGCTAATTCTAACCATCTAGTAACTACCCAGTCAATCCTTGCTAATTCTAACAAACTAGTAACTACCCAGTCAATCCTCGCTAATTCTAACCATCTAGTAACTACCCAGTCAATCCTTGCTAATTCTATCCATCTAGTAACTACTCAGTCTATCCTAGCTAATTGTAACCAACTAGTAACTACCCAGTCAACCCTCGCTTATTCTAACCAACTAGTAACTACCCGGTAAATCCTTGCTAATTCTAACCATCTAGTAACTACCCAGTCAATCCTTGCTAATTCTAACCATCTAGTAACTACTCAGTCTATCCTAGCTAATTGTAACCAACTAGTAACTACCCAGTCAACCCTCGCTTATTCTAACCAACTAGTAACTACCCAGTCAATCCTCGCTAATTCTAACCATCTAGTAACTACTCAGTCAATCCTCGCTAAATCTAACCATCTAGTAACTATCCAGTCAATCCTCGCTAATTCTAACCATCTAGTAACTACCCAGTCAATCCTTGCTAATTCTAACCATCTAGTAACTACTCAGTCTATCCTAGCTAATTGTTACTAACTAGTAACTACTCAATCAACCCTCGCTTATTCTAACCAACTAGTAACTACCCAGTAAATCCTCGCTAATTCTAACCATCTAGTAACTGCCCAGTCAATCCTCGATAATTCTAACCATCTAGTAACTACCCAGTCAATCATCGCTAATTCTAACCAACTAGTAACTATCCAGTCTATCCTCGCTAATTCCAATCATCTAGTAACTACCCAGTCAACCATCGCTAATTCTAATCAACTAGTAACTATCCAGTCTATCCTCGCTAATTCTAATCATCTAGTAACTACCCAGTCAATCATCGCTTATTCTCTCTATCTAGTAACTACCCAGTCAATCCTCGTTAATTCTAACCATCTAGTTACTACCCAGTCAATCCTCGCTAATTCTCTCTATCCAGTAACTACCCAGTCAATCATCGTTAATTCTAACCATCTAGTAAAAAAGACTTCTTACGAAATATAATTTCTGCCCCGGGAGAGAAGTAGGACTCAGGCAGGGAAATAAAGTCTCGTAAGAAGCCCACGTTTAATCGTTCCGGTGTCACGTCGTCCATGAAGATCTCATACCTAGGAGTTAAGAAACACAATGTTATATAGGGCCATATTCTTGCTGAAACAAAAATAGCCAAGATATTAGTCTTCCGCCATTGCTACTACATTGTACAGAAACATTTTCTTTTAATACCCCCCTCCCCTTTTCTTAAAAAACGTATATCCAGTAAAACATAACGATAAAGATATATCGACCCTTCAAAAACTCAACTGATTTACTGACTAGCATGTTATACATCTTAATTATTAATTTTATGCGGACAAATATGGTCAAGAACCAAGGGTTTATTAATTGCTTGCATATTCCTTTAGGATTGGTAGAAATAATGACTTTTCGTCACTTAAAATAGAAAAGATAATAATAATTGGATATTAAACAAATGTTAATTGTCCCGCGGGACCAACCTATCTCTCCCTATATATATATATATATGGGTTGCACATACAGTACCATCTATAGAGTGCCCTGTACATGTACGATTTGGGGGGTGTTTCTCGTGCAACGTATCACACCGCAGCCAAACGCAACGAATGCGGAATAACTACGCCGCCGCCTGGCAAAAATAGTCGAGGGTCTGTGACTTGATTAAAACTTGAAATTACTTGAAAATATTATGTAAAAAGGCCAGGACAAGGGTTAAAATAAAAAAAACAAGTATTACATACAAATGGAGTTGAAAAAAAATTATAGCACGCAACGACCGTCAATGGCAATAAATCTGCATTATTCCTGTCAATAGATTTTTTTTAATACTTAATGATTAATGAGCTACCCGAGGTGTATACTGTGTTTGACATTTTATTCTCTGACCCGAAAATAGCTCCACCATGTCCATACTGATGTCATTCAATAAGAATGTTTTACACTGATTGATTCCATTGTTTATGCGATTTGACCACCACGGCGTTTGGAGAGATTTATTTACCACTGTAAACTTAAGGTTATGGCGTCATTACTAATGAAATAGTTATGGGGGTTTTGGACTTTTCAGCGTCATTTGACTATATGATGATATGTTTTAAATACTATGACTGCATCCTAATTTAGATATAAGAAAGGGTGTTTATTACCTGAATATGTTTATCTCCAGCATGGCCATGAATGTTTGCGTCTGCTTCTCACCAAGACGAGCGCTGGCAGAGGAGCTGGCACTGAAGCCTGATGATTGTCTGGATGTGCCCCTCTGACTGGATCTTCCTCCTCCTGCTGACCAACCAAGTCCAAACGCTCCACCCCCTGCTCCGTGTCCAGAAGCCTTGTTGATCTCTTCCTGGAACATGGCCTTGGCAGAAGTGACGGCTGATTTCTCCGCAAGGTATTTCCTATACTCTTCCGTTGAGCTGAAGGTGTAGGATTCTACATCTGTGTCGTATATGCCTAGCACGGTCATGGAGTCAGGTACTTCGTTTTCACCGTATCTGTTTAAAGTTTTTAAAAAAATTACTTGACGTTGTCATTCATGTAGCTGGGCGCGTTATACGATAAAGTATGGGGAATGGATTGGTTTCAGTGACGTATCAGATTGCGTATGTACAAAATTTTGAAAATGGCGGGCATTTTTCCAAAATACAGAAAAATGAGTCATAAAACAATCATGTCTAAAAGTGTCTTACGTTTGCAAATTTTGGCATGATCTCTGGATAACACTCTTCTTCCTAGACTCAGCTGAGTACACGCCTCTTCCATCGAAGCCAACGCCGAGGTAGGTTGCGCCGTCAATCTGGTTCTGGACATTGAAAAATCAAAGTTAAAGAAAGCTATAGAAGGAAGCAAAATTACGCTAACGACGAGATGTTGTTGTATCGTATCATACGTCAGACAAGAAAGCCACTTATAACTTGTCCAAAAAAATCTTTGTAAATTGAAATTTTTAAAGCCATTTTGACCATAAACCACTAAACATTGAAGACGTTGGCACTATAATATGGAATGTCGCGATGTAGCATGGTCTTTCAAACGGTCTATGAAGAGAAAAAAAAGTTATCTATTTACATATTTCGCAGCTTAAGGTATATCAAGATTTCCTTGCGTGAATAACGTTTGGAATGTAATCTGTTAAGCCTCGGTCACAACCCGCCGTACATACATCTGCGTGCTGTCTAAGTGCAAAAACGTGGACGAACGTAGAGATCTGTAACTTGTGAGTACCGCCTCCGTACGGAATATTACACGGTATAACTTTAGGGCCCTGTCTCACTTCTGCGAAGTCTTGCGTATGAGTTGCATACAGACGACATTTTTATTCGCAGCCTTATGCAAACTGCGCACTTCGTATGCATCTCAGTCGTTTTGTGTAAGCTTTGTGAACGCCGCCATACGCACAGCACACGCACCGCACGGCTTAGGTACGCACCGTAGTTTTGAGCATGCGTACGCTGTTACGCAGGTCATGCGTTTTTAATACGCCATGCATCGGTCAAGTATGCACAGTATGTGTGCGCTACATATGTGTGTACGTAGGGGGCACGCGGCTAATACGCTGATCTGCACCTTGAACTGCACCTGTGCATAAGATGGGTGCATTGGATGAATGCATTGCGCACTTGCGGCGCTTTAGTACCGTTCGTATTGCAACAGGGCAGCGCATTATACGTATTTGTAACTAGTGAGAAGCGCAAAGGTAGCGTACAGATGTAGATGACGAACTTGCCGAATACCTGGGCTACACCCGGGTTACCGGCTCCTCTAGGTCCCATGGTTAACAGACCTCCTGGAGCATTTTAAGTAGGAGAACAAAAAATGAGTTGATTAGTATGTTAAGATTAGCTCTTTATAATATGTTTTGCTGAAACGTAGACGGTTAATGGGAAAACGTCTTTCCCAGAGTGCAATATGTTTTACAAAAATGCATTTTGATACATTTTAACACAAAACAAAACACTTTACTGCCTCGCCTAAAATGATGATACGACAGGCCACTTTGCAAATTATGAATGCATCTATATTTAAAACAAAATATTAAATTTTTGTTGTCTGTACTTTGGAATAATGCGCCAGTTACCTGTTTTTGTTTTTTGTCCAAGAAAATGTATAGTGTACGTAGTGGTGCAAAATGATAAAAAATATTAATGATTAATTATTTGAAAACAATAAAAACATCCATACTTGCAATACAGACAATTAACAATTGCGCATACACACAGATAGCATGGACACTACACTTCTCTGCGAACACTACAATCATTTCATATCTACAGACACTACATTACAACCACAGTTCAAACCGGCTATTGTTATAATTCCATCGTCTCTAGATGTTTCATGACATCAAGTTTATATTCGCCCATAGCGTTTATGCTCCTACATTTTTATTAACTATTTTGTACCAATCTACGTACACTACACATTTTCTCGGACAAAAAAAGGCAACTGGCGCATTATCCCAAAGTACAGGCAGCAAAAATATTTTATGTGAAATATAGATATATTGATAACATGCAAAATGGCCAGTCCAATCATTAAATTTGGGGAGGCGGTACAAGGGTGTTCTTTTGTGTTAAAAAGTGTCAAAATGCATTTTTGTAAAACATATTGCACTCTAGGAAATACGTTTTCCCTACAATAATTTTCTTTGCCAAAAGTTTTTTCAGCAAAACATATCAGAAAGGGCCAATCTTAACATATTCATCAACTCATTCAATTTTGTCACATCTTACTTACAATGCTACAGGAGGCCTGTTAACCATGGGGTCTAGAGAAGCCCCAGGTGTAGCCCAGGTGTTCGGCAAGTTCGCTACCTATAGATCTTTACGCTATCTTTGTGCTTTTCATTAGTTACAAATACGTACAATGCGCTGTCAAAGGGCATGATTAAAACTACGCTGCGTACTGAGCCGGGCGGCGCGTGTGCTGTGCGTATGCCGGCGTTCACAAAACGTACACAAAACGACTGAGATGCATACGAAGTGCGCAGTTTGCGAATGAAAAAAAATAACCGCACGCAACTCATACGTAAGACGATTCGCAGAAGTGTGACAGGGCCATTTATAGTAAAGTGGCAATCGCACAGAGATCGTACGTTGTAAGCACGAACAACTCAATTACCACTTGCGCAACGAACGATGCACTCAACCGCTCACGACCAGGCATGGCGTGCAGACCAAACTCATACACATTGTGCAACCGTGCGAGTTACGTGGGTTGATGCCACTCCTTCCCCACGTTTTCAGAAAACGTAGCAGATGTGGCCTCCCAATAAAGCGCACGGACAAAAAGCACGTACGGCGGGTTGTGACTGAGGTTTAAACTAAAAGAAAACCCGTTCTAATACCAATGTCTTTTTATTGAAATAAGACCGGTTTTAGTCAACATAGAATGCAGAAATAGTAGACTCGGTACTTACTGGACAGCCTTCTAGTGGTATTTTGGCTTCCCAGCAGGGGTCTCCATTCTTATAGCCTGTCCCGAAGCAGCCGTTCATCAGAACTGGTCCTAGTCCGGCTGGGTAGGTGTAGGCTGGGTCCTGTCCTCCGGAACTGACCTTGTCGTTATCACTTGTTATTATAAGAAAAATTCTGCTATCTAAGTAAAATTTTTCACTTAAGATTAATCCTCACCAGACACTTAAAAATGCAGTACATATAAAAAAAAAAGAATACAACATGGTGCATTCCATATTAACCCGGTTTACCAGACCGACTGTATGTAGTTCGAATCGCACACCGGCCGAAGGGACGCCTGCACGAACCATTTAATAGGTTATTCATGTTTCCATTTAAAAATCATAAGAAAATTGACTTATTATGAAATTGTTAACCAACCTGTCATCCTTGTACTTGTACTTATGTCGGATCTCCCAGCCTGGTGGTGCATACATGTTACCCATCGTGCCTCCTCGCCCAGGAACAAGTTGAATTTCCGCCTAGTAAGCGAACAAATCTTTGACATAAAATATCGTTAGGAATGATCTTTGTACTTTCTTTAAATCAGTATAATGTACAACTTGAATAATTTCCCGTATTTGTGATACTGAATTTAATTTTCATATATATCAATTAAGACTTCATGACCCGCCCCAAGGTAAATATGGTGTGATAAAGCCTTGTCAGTTGCTGTAACCACCAACTACAAGCCATCGAGTGAGCGAAGCTTTATAAGGTGGTTATAGCAACTGGCAAGGCTTTATCACACCATATTCACCGAGAAAGGGCGGGCCATTAACGCTATTATCATATAGCCTATCAAAACTTACACAGTAGAGTGTAACACATTCCTGTATAACACATATATCTAAATTACATAACAGACCATTACAGTCTCCCCTCTATCTTCCCGTCCGTTGGCCACTGTTCCTGTGAATCTTTCCCGATTCCAAGGACCCACATATTGAGTCTAAATTGGCCTCAATCAGTTCTTCTATGGCAAATTCTGACACACCATTGTCTAAAATTGTATGTCCTTTAGTGTGATGATTTTACCTGCTCTATCAGAGTTCATATATGAGTTCACCGGAACTTCGGAACAGAACTGGTATTCCATATGTGGTTATTTTTGGCCAAAAGAATAGAAAAAGCTTCCATTTGAAGTCATCTGAGGTCATTTGGATGCTTGAATACAGAAATGTACTTACTAGTGGGGGTGGTGCAAAATGTATTTCTCTCCGTTCACTCATAATTCACATCGTATTGACGTGGTTTTAATTTTGTTACATATTGCTAAATAAATTGGTTGATGACAAGACGGTAAATATTTCTATTCAACAAGGAAACATGTTAGCAAAAAAAATCAAAACCCCTGCATAATGGTTTGCTCCAGGGTGTGCATTATTCTGCAACAAAGCACACTTGTTAGAACAAAACACACCTGGCAATACTTGTATCATGCTAACTGTGACATTATGGTGTCATAATCAATATGGAATGGGGGCTTGGTCAACGCCACCTGGCTATATCATAGTGTAATTTAATCCACAGAATTAGGACGTTTGTGTTAGAAGAAGCCTTTCTTTATAATCTCGTTATATAAGTTATAATGCTGTCAAAGACAGAGGCTCAGGCAAATTTAACCAACCTCCTCCACCGGCCGGTTCAAACCCGCTGCCAGCCCACTGGTGTCCTTCAGCAGTTCTTTGTACTCATCGTCGAACTTGTCCATCTGTTTCCCCAGGTAGTCCTGCAGACCGCTCACCACCTTCTCCTGGTGGTTCTCCACTACACCGTCCGCGATCCTGTCGCCAAGCTTGTCGACGACTTTTCCTCCTATTTCTTTCGCTGCTGCTGCCAGAAAGGCTGGAACTGCCCTTTTTGTCATTTTGTTGCCGACAGGAGAACTGTCTGCTTTGTGGTGGGATCCTACAATATACATATCAATAGTTATATAGCCATTTTAGGGATTGGGGTGTCCAAAATGTAGTTAATCTGCCGGTACACAGCATTTTGCATCCCTTGCAAGAGCACATTGTAAACCAATTTGGACAAAACCGGTTCTTCTGTCAAGTTGAATATATTTCATATGGTCGACGTAACGTCTTTTCTTTTATATATTAAAAAAAAAATAAGGACGATGGTTGCGTTGGCTCCTAACTTTCTAAAATTTCTTGGCCGAGTAATAATTGTTATTACCTTTAGAACAGTAACTATTTTTTTTTTTTGTAAAAAATGGTTTTCTTTTATTTAAATGTAAACATTTATGTAAACAAGGAGTCATTGTTCTGTGGACTTAAACCAAAAATATATAGAAAGCGTTTCCAATAATGCATGGGATAGTATTGTAGCTTTTTGTAAGCCTCTTCAAAACTGTATAATTCGGAGCAAAGTGTGTAGTATTTGGTAGGAGGCCAAGGGCCAGATATTTGTTGAAATGTGTAGTTGCTAAGTGGCTCTTGACATAACAGAATGATACACATCAGTACTGAGTGCCGCATTTTGGTGACAATAATAAGTCAAGTACCTTGTCTGTTACAACTGTGAGCCAAAACAAACGTGGTGCCTTTGCTAAGCCTTAAAAAGTTGGTAAATGTGGTGTGCCAAATCTGGTGTGCTATGCCGAAGGGCGGTTAAGTAACTGGCTATACAGTTAGAGATACGTCATGAAACTTATTTAGTGAAAAAACACTGGGAATAAGATAAAATGATTACATACCCACTGCTATGGCCAGGATGACGGCCAGGACCAGTGTTGGGGTCCCCATTGTTGTTTATTGTTCTGGGAAGTACATTTAGTTTAGTAATAATTGCATATATGACAATCAACAAGAGCACAAACATTTATTATTAATGTCAATGAAAGAGTTGCGTAAATAGTATGTGCTAAAGTAACAAGCATGGAAATACTTGGAAAACCCCAAGAAACAACAAAAAAGTCTTTTTTCCGAGTAAATATCTACTTAATCTCTTCGTCCAAGGGTCTAGTAACTATTTTACGTAATTTTATTGCTTTTTTGCATTTTTAGTATTGTTGCTCCATGAACGCCAATATGGCGTATGTTTTAACTTAGTATCTAGATAAGTAGCCGAAACATTGACTTTAAAAACTTATTAGAATTTCTCATGACAGCTTGTGATCCCTGTCGACAGAAATTTTGTTGAATTTTGTTTACCGCCAAGAAGACAAACTCCAGATGTCTTACTGAGGGACGACTGCGTGTGCAAGATGTCGGTTAGCTGAGGAAGGAATCCACTCGAATTCACATTTTTCTATCGCCCTGAGTTTGCGGGAGTAAATTATCGGCGTTGGGAGGGAAGCCTCCTAGCATTGTTAACATATAACTACAATTGTAAATAAGTAGTTAGTATATTAGGGGTAATTTTGAAAGTATCTTGCTGCTTGAATACGGTGAGTTGGTGATAAATACCGAAGTAAAAAAAAATGACGATCTTTAGGGCCACGCAAGGTGATGCAATAGCTTCGTTTAAAGTTAAATACAGAAAAAAATCGTGGCATATATGTGCTGCCTAGAAAATGGTTTATGTTTGTAAAAAGGTGGATTTTTTTCTGTTCAGTGATTACCATGTAAAACAACCATTTGATATGATTCAGAACGTTGCGACTTTTTTGACCAGATTTGACCACCATGCAGTGTGGCGCAGTCAAAACAAGTGCTTTTACAAAAGCTGACGTTTGCTCGTGTGGTCTTTTTGCACAACAAAATCTTATGCAAAAATGTTTTTTTTTTCTTTGAAGTAATGATGTGACCTTTGATTAAAATCTAGCTCCCCTGCATACTCATATACACTTAGTGCGTTAGTATGAAGGGGTTTTTACTATTGGCATGTAAAGAGTTTAAATATTTTATTTTGATAAAATACTGTACACATTTTCCACAATGATTTGAATACAATACACTCAAGTACACATAAAATCACTTTCACTCGGAATATACAGCTCCATGCGAATTATAAGACAACAACATAAATATTCCTTTCATTGAATAAAAATGAATCAATATATTACTACCGGTGAATTTTATGACTACATACTGTCCTGGGTGTTGAAATGGCTATTTTGCTGAAAGGCCAAAATATTACATGGACGGAATTCTCCTTTCTGGAGCTTTAACCCTCAACAGAACACCTTCCCGGACTGATTAATCTGTACACCTGGGGTCCGCGCGGACCCCAGAACAGTTTTTAGCTAATTTTTAGAAATTATCAACGTGCTACCAGCTCAATTGTGTTGCAAACTGATGTGGGAACCTCTGTGTCCACATTACATACAAAAACCATACATTTTGAACTTTTTCTTTTTTTCGGTGAAGAAAAGAAGACAAGAAGAAATACCCGATTTTTAAACCCATTTCAGACTGAAGGGGCTTTTGAGGCCAAACTTTGATCTAAGATAGCGGCTAAACGGCTTGCGCTAGAAGTATCAAATTTGGAGACCTTTCCTAATGTCTCTGGCAAAAAGTTCATATTAGTTTAATACTAGTAAGTTGATGGTTTTTTTTGTGTTGCCATGGTAACGGGTTTCTAGCAGGCATTTTTTTGAAAAAAGAAGTAATTTTGGTTTAAACATAAAATTTTATGTTTTATATTAAATTACACTTCTTTTCCAACATTAATAACATCTTACATAATTAAATATAAGTTAAATCATTTAATATGCATGGAATATGCTAATTTGATGACGTCATTGGTCAAAATCCAATATGGCGGACTATATTATTAGCTCTGACGTCATATGACGAAATAATTACACCAAAGTTATTAAAATTTAATTCTATTACTACACCATTCTCTGAAAACTTGGTAGACATACGATGAGTGCATAAAAACATATAAAAACGGAAATAAGGTAATGTATAAGAGCGCCAGTGTATCCATTATGATCGAAAGCCGGCTGGGGTCCGCGCGGACCCCAAAAGAAAATCAGATATAATTTTTTTTATAAATGGTAGAAACGGAGTTTTCTGCACTGTATTGAGAGACAACTTTGTGGGTGACAATAACCTAAAATTTCAGAAAAAAATCTTTAGAGACAAAAAAGATATTACAGAATATATAGTGCTGGGGTCCGCGCGGACCCCAGGTGTACTGTTTAGGGTTAAAAATCATAGGTACATAATACTCCTCGCCCCCGACGTGTATCCACTGTCATCCCCGCGGCCCACGATGGTCAGATTTGGGCCCAAAAGTCCCACCCCGCTACTATGGAAATCGAATCCCCCGAACCCGCGAATCTTGTTCGATATGACGTCATTCGAATAGAGCGGACGTTCGATCTGGGGTTACCCGCGGTCATTTACAGTAAAGCCGCTACAACCGGCTACTTCAAGCCCTTTTTTACTTGGGAACCACGGAACAGGAAAAATCCACCTTTCCACAAATATGAACCATTTTTAAAACATTACATCTATGTCGTGATTTCATTGTGGATATGTAACATGTAACGAAGCTACTGCCGTCATCGTGGGTGACCTTTTTTTTTTTTTATTTGCAAATTCAACAAGGACAATACAAGACAAGGTGGTGAGGTACTCTAGCTATAGCTAATTTTAGCCTCACCACCAAACATAGAATACAATTACAATACATAACAAAAAACAGAGAACAGCAAGTGGGTGGGATAGGTCGTTAAATAGTACAAAGAAATGTTTAGTAGGCTATATAATAAATCAATCGAGTACAAACCGTTTGGTGTCAACAATATAAGTTTGAGTGGTTAGCAAGATATTACAGTTTGTATCATAGTATAAATCAGGTAATCCTCTAAGTAAAATATCACATAACAATTGTTCAGACATATTGAAAACATCAAAATCAAAGCCTACCACATTCTGGAGATTGCTGAGTAGGGTGACTCTTTGTTGATTATATAAAGGGCAGTGTAAAAGAAAATGTATGACACTCTCACAGCGAGACCCGCAGATACAAGCAGCACTAGGGGCTAAATTTCTTAAGAATAAGCTGTGGTTAAGACTACAGGTCCCGATGCGGAGACGCGTGAGTAATGCGCTGGTGTACCTGGGGCCGATGCTAAAATGTCGGTAAAAAGGGGAACGTACTGACTTTACTAAGTACTTCTTATACAATGAAAGATTCAGAGATCGAACAGCTACATCAAGACCATTCCAATGATGCGTAGCATATGGAATGAAAGACTTTTAGCCTAGCAACCGACCGCCGTGGCCAATGTCAAGTTCTCCAACTCCTACCTACTAGGTGGCAAATCCCATCGGGGCCATAATGTTGTTCCGTGTGCTTCCCACATCGTTGCTACTTTCTTGAGAATCCTTGCCAAAGGAAGGATAAATTTCCCTAAATTTATACTATCAAGGTCCCTAAGCACGTAAATGCCTTCGACAGAAGGCAATGGAATAGTTTTTGCACTGTTTTGCAGATTATGCACGATAAAGTGTGAAGGCATGGTCCGTGGTTCACGATTTTTGGCAGGCAGGTTGTCTTAGTGATGGGCATTGTGATGGCCAGAAATGGGCTTCGTGTGTGTGTGTGTNTGGGGGGGGGGGGGGTTCTTACGTAACTAGAGCTGACCTTTTATGTTTGCGTTTTTTGTTGTTCCTAAGATAACTCGGGAATCCTTAAGTGGTTGTCTATGATTTTCAGTGGGCAAGTCGCCGTCGAGGATACGGAGGTCAAGTTCGGATATGGGCCTCGTTCCCATTTCCTTGAATTTGACCTTTTGTGGTGGTCGTTATTGTTGTTAGCGGGATAATTCGTGAATATGAAAATGGATGTTCATGATTTTTGCTGAGCAAGTTACCGTTGACAATAGGAAGATCAAGTTCAGAAAAGGGCGTCGTGGGAGGTCCGTACGTTACTGTACTAACACTGGTCACTTTAAATTTGGAAAAGACGCCAGCAACCCCAAGTATAAAATTCCAGGC